GGTTTATTTATTTATGCATACAGAACTGGGGTACAGGCCAGAGGTGCAGGGGAGGTGAGAGGATTCACCAGAAACAGTCGGGAGCAGGACAGGCCAACTGACGAAGTACACCGCTGAGGAGAGCAGCAGGCAGGTCAGGAGAGGTCTGCGGTGCCATGTGGGTCATTTCCAGGGATTGGGATCGAACTCATGCTAAAGTGGCTTTAGCTTCTTAGTGCTGTGCTTTAACCCACTGTGCAACCAAGGAGGGCCCAGTTTTATTTTATTTATTTTTTTTAAAGATTTTTATTTATTCATACAAAACTGGGGTACAGGCCAGAGATGCAGAGGGTGAGAGAATTCACCAGAGACAGAGTGGGGAGCAGAACAGGCAGATCGATGAAGTACACTGCTGAGGGGAGCTGTGGGCAGGTCAGGAGAGGTCTGCCACGCCATGTGGATCTCCTCCGGGGCAGGCGTGGCTGAAGCTTCTTAGTGCTGTGCTTTAACCCGCTGCACCACCAGGGAGGGCCCCAGTTTTATTTTTAAGATTTTATTTATTTATGCACATAAGAACTTGTGTACAGATCAGAGATGCAGGGAGTAAGAGGATTCACCAGAGACAGAGTAGGGAACAGAACAGGCGGACTGACTCCTGAAGGGGACAGCGGGCTGGACAGGAGAGGTCTGTTGCTCCGTGTGGGTCACCCTCTGGCTGGGGATCGAACTTGTGCTACAGTGGCTGCAGATTGCTTCATAGTGCTGCACTTTAACCACCCCCATATCACCAAGGAGGGCCCAATTTTTTCAGTCATTTTATATACATCTGTAGTTTACCATTAAAAAATTTATTGTTATATTCATGGTGATGCATTGTTTTTGTTTAGGGGCATATTCAATTGAAGTTAGGAATTGCTAAATTTAGTAAGATAGACTTTATGTGACTTAGAGGATAAGCCATGGCATACACAAGTGTATATACTAAGTAATTATTTAATATGTGTGAATATATTTCTGTTTTAGTAATTAGGAGATAAGGAAAGAATAAGTGCTGGCTTGGTTGTGAGAGCTCTAAAGAAAAATTACATGGTTTATGTTAATAAAATTTAGGGTTAAGCATGGGCTCATAGAAAGCATAGAATATTGTGAAAAAAAAAAGTAACTACTCCATTGGTATAATCCTAGAGAAATCAACCAGCACCAACATTATGAGAAAGTTTCATGATAAATGCCACTATTTAGTATATCCTCAATCTTTAATTTTGATAATTACCTTTACTGAGTTGTAATATATACAGTAAAATATACTCAAATGTACAGTTCAGTAAGTTATGATAAATACTGTTGTATAACCATCACACCATCAAGATACAGAATATTTCCATCACCACCAAAAATTCTTTGCTATTCTTGTGCTGTCAACCCCTAATTCCAACCCTTGACAGAAGACAAGTATGAATTTGCATGTCATTGCAGATTATTTTTGCCTTTTCTAGAATTTCATATAAATGGATTATGTACTCTACATTATTAGATCTAAATTTTTTTTTAAAGATTTATTTATTTGTGCATACAGAACTGGGGTACCGGCCAGAGGCTCAGGGGCGGTGAGAGGCTTCACCAGAGACAGAGTGGGGAACAGAACAGGCAGATCAACGAAGTACACTGCTGAGGGGAGCTGTGGGCGGGTCAGAAGAGGTCTGCCACGCCATGTGGATCTCCTCCAGGGCAGGCGGGGATCGAATTCATGTGGAAGCAGCTTTAGATTCTCAGTGCTGTGCTTTAACCCTCTGCGCCACCAGGGAGGGCCAGATCTAAATATTTTTACTCAGTATTTGAGATTCATTGCTATTTCAGTGTGTATTAGTATTACATTTTTTAAATTGCTGAATGGTGTTCCATTGTATGGGTAGGCCACAATATGTTTAGTAATTCTATTAATGGGCATTTTCGTTAGTCCCAGTTTCTGGGTGTTACAAAGGTCATATGAATATTCATGTGCAAGCATTGTGGTTATGATTTCGGATCGCTTGGGAATACCTACAAGTGGAATTGCCAAGTCATATAAATAGAGTATGTAGTGTTATTTGTGTGTTTTTAACTACCAAACTGTTTTCAAAGTGGTTATATATCACTTTGTATTCCCACTAGTAATGGTAAGAGTTCTTTTTGCTAAATCCTCTTCAACACTTGGTGATACCAGTTTTTTAAGAGAGTTTTGACATTCTAATAAATGTACAATGACATCTCATTGTTGTTTTAATTTGCACATCTCTAATCATGATGTTCAACATCTTTTTATGTGCCTATTAATCATTAATCTGTTTTTTTTGGTGAAATGTATGTTCGGTCTTTTACCCACTCAAAATTGGACTGCCTTTACTTAATGTTTTGTAAGCTGTGTCAAATATATGTACTAAGAATAATTTTTATGTCATTTACCTTTTGTTACTTTTACAATATCTTTTGAAAAGCAGTTTTTATTTTGACGATATCCAATCTACTCTTTTTTTTCTTTTATGGTTTGTGCTTTCTGTGGCTTCAGAAATCTTTGCTAATCTTTATGTAGCTACTACTTTCTGTGTTTTCTTCTTAAATATTCAGTGTTAGCTTTTATGGTCCATTTCTAGTTAACATTTGGTGTGAGATAGAGAGGGTATAGTTTTATTTAAAAAATAGTACTTCCTGTTTCAGAATTGTTTGTTGAAAGGATTTTTCTCTTTTTAGCACCTTTGTCAAAATCACTTGGCCAAATATATATGGATCTATTTCTGAGCTGTGTTCTGTTCTTTTGAGCTGTGTTTCTGTCTATGTCAATACCATTCTTGATCACAGGAGCTTTATATTGTTTGGAATCAGTACTTTAACTTGTTTATTTTCTTTTTCCTTTTCAAAATTATTTTTATAGGGCCTTTGTATTTTCATAAAAGATTTTTTAAAGATTTATTTATTTTTGCATACAGAATTAGGATACAGGTTAGGTGTAGGGGCGGTGAGGATTCACCAGAGACAGTGGGGAGCAGAACAGGCTGACTGATGAAGTACACTGCTGAGGGGAGAGTGGGCGGGTCAGGAGAGGTCTGCCGCAGATGGCCTTGAAGATCACCTCGGGGTGGGCATGGAACTCATGCTGAAGTGGCTTTAGCTTCTTTTTCTTCTTTTTTTGTTTGTTTGTTTTCTTTCTTTCTTCCTTCCTTTCTTTTTTTTAAAGATTTATTTATTTGCACATACAGAACTGGGGTACAGGCCAGAGGCTCAGGGGCGGCGAGGGGCTTCACCAGAGACAGAGTAGGGAGCGGAACAGGCAGATCGATGAAGTACACTGCTGAGGGGAGCAGCCGGCAGGCCAGGAGAGGTCTGCCGCGCTATGTGGTCACTCTGCGCCATGTTGTCACCTCTGGGGCAGGCAGGAATTGAGCTCATGTGGAAGTGGCTTTAGCTTCTTAACGCTGTGCTTTGCCCCGCCTCACCACCAGGGAGGGCCCTAAAAATCACAATATTTTTAAAAGTAGCTTGTCAGTTTCTACCAAATAAAGTCTGTAGAGATTTTGCTTGGGATTCATTGAACTTTTATATCAATTTGACGCAAGGGATGTGATCTTGAGTGGAGAGACAGTAAACTGATACCACACTGCATTAAGTTCTTCCTTAAAGGTAGATGTTAGTGGAGCATATTCATGTCTGCTGCAGTTATAGTAGACAGTTTTGTTAGATCTTCTATTTTGTTAGGGGTACTTTGTGTGTATTCTATTAATAAGAAAGGTGAGTTAAGATATCGTATTTTGACTGTGGAGCTTTATGTTTTCCGTTTAGTTCTGTCAATTTTTGCTTTATGTATTTTGAAGTTATGTTTACTAGGTATGTATGTATGTTAATACTAGCTATGTCTTTCTGATGTATTGACTCATTTGTTATTATGAAATGTTCTTTGCATCTGGAAGTAATTTTTTTATAATCTGTAATATCTGATGTTATTATAGCCTCTTCACTTTTCTCATGACATGTCCTTTTCCATACTTTTACTTTTAAACCTATTTGTATCTTCCTATTTAAAGTGAGTTTCTCAATCCAACTGACCCAAAACAGGTGAATGGATCAAAAAGTAGTGGTATAGTTACTACTGGATTCATTTTAGTGTAAATATGGGAACTTTGCAAATTTTATCATTAAAGGGTACATGAGAACTCATACTATTTTCTCAACTTCTGTGTGAATCTAGAATTATTTCAGAAGTATTTATAGTTGCTTGTTATGGTAAAATTTAATGGCAGCTTCTTTAAAACTCTTATAAGAATCTGTTGCTTATCATAAGTGAGATTCTTTCTGTTTCTTGGTATGATGCTAAAAATGTTGGATTGTATCTTGGACATTTTGAGTGTTATGAGACTTTGGTTCTTATCTTCTGTGTTAGTAGATAGCCACTGGGAAGAGCAAAAGGATGCTGCCTCTGTCAATACTCACCTTTTCTAGGCAGGAATAGTCTACAAGGCTCTGCCACTAAATGTTTGGTAATGGCAGCACCTGGTGGTAGATATAGGCAAAGACAGAGGCCTCTCTTACTAATGCAAGATGAGAAAGGTCAGCGAGGCTTTGTTCCAGGGAGTACACTGCACTCAGTTAGAAGGGTTCTTCTATCCTGCAGGACTGCTGTTTTCCTGTTTCTTTGGTTAGAGATAGTAGATTTTTCTTGGGCTTTTAAAAATATCTACACCACTGTCTGTTGGTGATTCCAAATTGTAAATTGCCATAGCAGTTAGAATGAGATAGATAGGAGGTAAAAATTCTCTAGGGATTTCTTTGCTGTACCATCACACAGGATCTGGGAACTCTATAATAAACAGTTTCTTTTATTGTCTTCACCATTTAGTCTTGTAGTTACTCTATTGCCAAGGCTTATCCCTGTACCTAGCAGGAAGGGTGCTATGCATCTTATCTTATCTGAAACAAGTCTCTTACAGATTTTTAAAAATGTATTTCCCAATTTTATTTATTTACACTGCTTGTTTTGTTTTTCAGGCAAATGAAGATAAAACAATGTCTGCCAACCTAAAATACCTTTCCTTGGGAATTTTGGTCTTTCAGACTACCAGTTTGGTTCTAACAATGCGTTACTCTAGGACTTTAAAAGAAGAGGGACCTCGTTATCTATCCTCTACAGCAGTGGTTGTTGCTGAAATTTTGAAGATAATGGCCTGCATTTTATTAGTCTACAAAGAAAGCAGTAGGTATCTAGGTTTGTTTTTGATTTATTGCAGTTTATTTGTTGCTATTTACATATGACAAATGTTAGTAACTATACATTTGAACAGTTAAATTTACCCTTGTATAAAGAATATGTCAGTATTTTTCATTTTAGTGAGATAGTTTAGTGTGGTATAAAGAATATGTCAGTAGTTTTCATTTTAGTGAGATAGTTTAGTGTGGTAATAAAGGCAGTCTATTTTAATCTCAATCATTCATGTTTTCTAGTGATAGTTAATGCTGTAGATACAAAACATTTTCTCATGTCATTTCTTGGGTGAGTGAGTAAATCCTGTAAGTCTGTGACCATTAGAAATTTAGAGGAGTCATAATTTTTAATAAAATTAAGATTTTTTTATACTGATTATACAGTGACTAATTTAATCCTTTAAAAAAAGATTTCATTGAGATGTAATTTGTGTATCATACAATTCACTGATTTTAAGTACTAATAGTGGATTTTTGGGGTATATTACATTCTTTGAAGGTTGTAGTGAAATAAATTGAAATAAATGTCATAAAATTTGCATGTCTAATCATTTTAAGTGTACAATTAAGAGGCATAGTTATATTCACAATGTTGTACAATATTTTTTACAATGTACAATTATTAACACTTTCTAAAATTTCTCATCCCCCCCAAACCTAAGCCCTGTAATCCCTAAGCATATAAGCATAATATTTCTTACCCCCCTTATTTTTAGTGCTTGGAAACCTTAGCTATTTCTTGTGTATTAATTGGCCTATTCTAGATATTTCACTAAGTATAATCATATACTATTTCTCTTTTAATGTCTGGTTTATTTCACTGAATATAATATTTTCAGGATTTATCCATGTTATAACATGCATTGCCTGCTAAAGCTAATAAGATATAAGACTGTGTGTGAGAAGTATTTTCTCCATTCATGTATTGATGGACACTTGTTATTTTTACCTTGTGTGATTGTGAATAACACTGTGTAGTGAGCAGTGAATAGCATACAGTGGAGGTACAGGTTTCTGTTCCAGTCCCTGTTTTCATTTGTTATTTATTTTTTGAATATGTACTTTAGGGTGGAATTCCTGGGTGAAATAGTTATTTTATATTTAACCTTTTGAAGAACTATGAAACTTTTCCACAGCAACTTCATCATTTTACATTCCCACTTGTGATGTAGGAGAGTTTTAATTTTTCTACAGCCTCACCAACTACTTGTTATTTTATTTTAGCTATGAAATAGTTTATTGATGTGGTTTTTATTCGCATTTCCTTAATAATGAATGATGCTGAGCACCTTTTCATGTGCTTATTGCTGTTTGTATGTCTTGTAAGAATTGCTAGTTAAATTTGTTGCACATTTTTCAGTTGGTTTGTTTATAAGTTTGGTACACTTTTGCAGCTATCACAGGAGTATTACTGGAGCATAATGATCAGAGAAGAGAACAGAACAAAAAGATTGAATTAGTATTAAGTAAGCAGACAATGAAGGATAACTTTGTAGGCTTTTTACTTCATTGTAAAAGTAAAGGGAAATAATTGAAATGATAAAATATGGCTTTTTCTCACAAAAAGTTTATTAACAGGAGGAGATGCAAGAGTAAGTACAGGAAATCATGTTTGGAAGCTATTGTTGTAGTCCAGCCAAGAAGATTGGTGGTGGCTAAGACTCTGTTGTTGAAGAGAGAGTGAGATATCTCTTGTACTATAATTCACATGGCTTGCTAAAAGATTAGATATATGATGGTTAGGGAAAAGAAGAAACCCAGTTTGAGGTTTTTAGATTAAATTACTAGCTGTATCAGTACTGGCTGCGATGAATGATACATCAAGGCAGGTTTGGGGGAAACAACATCTCAAATTTAACATGGTCCAAAGTGAACTCTTATCGGGCCTTCAAATTGAGAATATAGAGCCCAAAGATTTACCAGCTTTTTAAGAAATCACTTTGAAGTCCTGGATTAGATAGATTAGCATTTGTTGAGAAGATCAAAGACCTGTAGCATTTCCAGTATTTAGAAATCAAATTAAGAAAGGATTTGCAAAAGAAGACTAATGGAGCCACCAGCAAGATAGAAAAAAAAAAAAAAAACCCATGAAAAGTAGTAATAAGAAAAACAGAAATTAGTGTTTTTTGCTGCTGAAGTCTAGATGCACAATGCTGCAGTCTATTCAGCATTGTGGGGCACGGACATCTTTGCCATGAGTTCTTACCATTGTGGAGAGCTGCAAAAAACCATTTTTTCAGTAAATTAATGCACAAATAACCATACAATCTACAAAAAATTCTGGCTGTATTAGAGATTGACATTTAAAAAGTAATATTGAGCCTCCTGTTGGCCAAGGACTTAAGTCTCAGTGCTAACACTGCTATGGCCTGAGTTTGGCCCCCAGCCAGGGAGCTGACCCATGGCATGGCAGACCTCTCCTGTCTCGCCTAATGGTCCCCTTAGCAGTATATTTCAGTAGGTCCTGGCTGTATGGCTTCCCACTCTGTCTCTTTTGAATCCTATCACAACCTGCACCTCTAGCCTACATCCTAGTTTTTCTACTTAAAATAATAATAAAAAAATGAAATTTATTCTATGATTATATACTGTGATTTTAAACAAGGTTCAAAAAATACAAATAAGCCATAAAAGAAAAATAGATAATTTAAGACACATAAGTAAGTCCTCATTTGGAAATTGTAACTTTAAGTGAAAAAACATGTAATGAAACCAGTTTTACCATAGGCCAGGGGATAATAAAAGTTAAGTTCCTATGGCATATTTCTGGTCGTAGAACCATCTCCCAAACTTGTGAAATAAAGACCCACAACACTTAATCATTTGTATTCATTTGCTTTTTCTCAACCTGCTAATTCTAATTCTAGGTTGAGAGTGACCAGGTCTCATCCCAGCAGCTTAGGGCACATGACAGCTCCCAGCTCTGGACAGGATGCCATCCCACTGTAGGGCCCACTCACACCCCCACACTCACTGGGACTGGGGCAGCAGCCATGTGCATCTTGGGATGTGGGGAAATCCTGCACAGACATGGGAGAACATGCAGGGGTGAATTTGCCACTCCCACATAGATGGTGGTGTTGACTGGAAATTTATTTTTTCTTTCAGTGTAACATTCTTTGAGACATTATTATTTGAGAAACTGCTGAACATTATTATAACACTTGGTCTCTATCAAACCAAATGAGAAGAGAAACCAGATTGAAAGAAATTATTTACATCATATGTAACTATAATTAATACCCAGAATCCAGCTAATTACAATTCAGTAAGAAGAAAAATGTCAGATGAAAAACTAATAAAATTCATAGAAGAGGAAACTTGAATGGCCAATAGATAAAAAGATACAATCAGGGCTCTCCCTGGTGGTGCAGCAATCAGGGCCCTCCCTGGTGGCGCAGCGGGGTAAAGCACAGCACTAAGAAGCTAAAGCCACTTCCGCATGAGTTCGATCCCCGCCTGCCTCAGAGGTGATCCACATGGCGTGGCAGACCTCTCCTGATCCGCCCGCTGCTCCCCTCAGCAGTGTACTTCATCAGATGGCCTGTTCTGCACCCCAGTCTGTCTCTGGTGAATCCTCTCACTGCCCCTGCACCTGTGGCCTATACCCCAGTTCTGTATGCATAAATTAATAAATCCTTAAAAAAAAAGATCAATCAGAGAAATCAAAATAAGGTTTAATGTTACTACTCTCAGGTTGGCAAAAATAAAGTCTGATAATGTCAGGACTTGACAAGGAACATGAAGCAAGACACCCTAAACTACTGGTGAGAAAAATACATGCTTAAGGTGAGGGAAGGATGAATAGCACGTAGCAATTTTTGCTTTTGTTAATTTTTAGAAATTTATTAATTTATGCATACAAAACTGGGGTACAAGCCAGAGGCGGAGGGGGTCAGAGGATTCACCAGAGACAGAGTGGGGAGCAGAACAGGCAGATCAACGAAGTACACTGCTGAGGGAGCAATGGGAGAGACAGGAGAAGTTTGCCATGCTACGTGGGTCACCTCCCGGCCAGGGGTCGACCTCACACTGAAATAGCTATGCTTTCGCAGTGCTGCACTTCAACCTGTTGTGCCACCAGCAGGCAGGTAGCAATTTTGAAAAAAATTTATTTCATTTAAAAAGTTTTGTAGTGCCTCTCTGGTGGCATGAGAGGTTAAAGTGGAGAACTAGGAAGCTATCCACAGCAACTGCAGTACGATTTTGATTCCCAGTAAGGGAGGTGACCCACATGGCAAAACAGACCTCTCTTGTGTTGCCCAGTGCTCTCCTCAGCAGTGTCTTTCAATCTGTCTGCCTGTTCTGTTCCCCACTCTGTCTCTGGTGAGTCCTCTCAACACACACACACTTCTGGCCTGCACCCCAGTTCTTGTGCGTATAAATAAGTAAGTCTTTAAAAAAAAGTTTTTGTAATCAATGTTTTCAAGTGTTATGTTGGGAGAAAATAAGCATCTTTAAAGGGTTTACTGGTAAAGTGGTAGGCTAGCAGAGTTTCTCCTTCCTCTAGGACTTTATATATCTTAAAGTTCTTTTTAACATTTTTGATACTGGTTTGCTAACCCAAAATACCTTATCTCTAAAGTGGAAGTTATGTTAAAAAAAAAAACCTCAGTCCCCCAGTTCTCTGCAGCAAGGGGTGCTATGCAACACAATCCTGGTAACTAAGAGTGGGGGACACCTTTATGCCACCTTTTTCTCTGCTTTCCTGCTAAAATCATTTGATGACCTTCTTATAATGATAATGTAGACAGTCGATGAAAAGCATGACGGTAGAAAGCCAACATATAAGCAGAGCAAGCTTCAGTTCCTGATGTACTGTTGGGGCAACTTTGGACCTGGACTCATAATATTTGAAACAACTCTCTGGTTGAGTCTCTGTTCGTTGGTTTTCTGTTTCTAGCCAAACCTATTTCCTAACTGATTTACTTCCTTTTTATGATCAAAACCCTGACAATTAATTGGCATGAATGACTAATGATAAAATGAGGTACACAAAATGTAAGTCTTGCTATGTAACGAATAGTAAGACTAGTTGGTAGCAAATGAATATTTTGTGTTTCTGGTTATTGTAAGTGTATATGTATATATAAGTATGCATATATATGTAAAGTACATATATAATCAATTTTATTGTACTTCCCAGTAAAAAAATATAAGGATAATGCACTTGTTAATATGCTACCTTATACTTTTTAACATTTAGCATCACTCGTAATTCAGCAACATGACATTTAAAAGTGTATTTTAGACATAAAAGTACCTTGACATGTAGCCCAATCTCCTTTCCATTAAAGTGAAAAACTGAGGCCCTGAGAAAGGGTATGTAACTTATTTAGTATTACTTTAATTATTAATTTTTGCCCATTTTCATGGTTTTTTCTAGAATGTAGTCTAAGAACATTGAACCGAATACTACATGATGAAATTCTTAATAAGCCTATGGAAACCCTTAAACTTGCTATTCCTTCAGGAATATATACTCTTCAGAACAATTTACTGTATGTGGCATTGTCAAATCTAGATGCAGCTACTTATCAGGTACTTAAAATACATTTCTAGTCGTCTTTTTAAGAAACAAACACACACACTAATATTAACTGTTTTCTTTTTCAGGTCACATATCAGTTGAAAATTCTTACTACAGCATTATTTTCTGTGTCTATGCTTAGTAAAAAATTAGGTGTGTACCAGTGGCTTTCCCTAGTAATTTTGATGGCAGGAGTTGCTTTTGTACAGGTAATTATTCAAGATAAGTATATTTCTCACATTACAGTTTTAAAAGCTTATTTGTGTATGGAGACTATGGTTTTATTATTTATTGAAATAAATAAATGCTTATTCTTCCCTAATGGCATATTTTTTGCAACTGTAACTGCTATAAGTAAATAAAAATCAAATCTGATAAAGAGCCATCTAGTTAGGTAAGTAAGACACTGCATGTAAAACACAGCTGATTCTTACTGAATATCTGAAACATTTGAGATTATTAATCGTTCTCTTCTCTGATGTTGTTTTTTCCTGGTCTTTCCCATAACTTGATAGTGATTTCTTTTTGGTTTTCTTACACCTTTTAGATATTGGGGTTACTGGTAGGCATGTTAGTTTTTTAAATGATTTCCTTACCTTTGGAGATTTCATCCATTTTGGAAATTATATTACAAACACTATTTTGCTAGTGGCTGTTTGGTCTATGTGTATCATCAGCTCTGCTGCAGGTTTGTGTATCTTAAAGACTTTTGGATACCTTTGCTTTATAAACCCAGCATTTCCCAAAGTAAACTTTACCTTTTTCCCACTAACCCTGTTCTTATTGCTATTTTTTTTAGTCATTATTTACTCAGCTTGGACAGTTGCCCTAGCTTCTGTTTGTTACATTTAATTACTAAGCCCATCCTTGTTCTGATTTTTAATACTTTTTTATTCTGTCCACATATGCTATTAGTACCATTGTTCATGCCTCCTTTGTTTGTAACATTATCTTTTGCCTCCTAATTTTTTTACTCAGTTTTAGCCCCCCTAAATTTCTCCTCCAGTTACTCATCAATGTGTTCTTTAGAAAAATAAATACACTCATGTCAATCCTGACAACCTAGGACACTCTATGACTTCCTGTAGTGTGTGGTACATATATCTTGAATAAGTATGTTAATAGATATTTATTTTAAGTAGAAAACCATAAATGTTATATCAAGCCCTTATTTTCATAGCTGTTGCTTAGGATAAGCTAAAACAGGTATTAAATTTAGTAAGTGAGGTGTTTCAAATTAAGCTATCAATCAACTAGTAGTTCAGGTGGAACATGGATTTGAAAAAAAATGGTGAAGTCAAATAACTGTTTTGAGGGACATTAATCTACAGATTAACACCCAGAGTAGTTAATCATGATGCTAAATGCATGTTCCGGATGCTCCTCTACACTCCAGACTCATTTTTGCTGCTGTACACTCTGTACATTCTGGATTTCTGCAGCTAAACTGCTTGTATAGGCCAGTTACTGCATCTGTATATTGATTCATTCTCTTTCTCTCTTTTAGGGTATTTGTGGAAATTATGAGTTGTATTAGTAATTATCACTGGGGGGCAAAATGGTTCTAAGGTTTTCTCTCAAAAATTGCTATTCTCAAGAATGGTATTAGTTGTATTTTTACCTTAAAAGCCCAAGGTGGGCTCTAAAAGTGCACTTGTAAAATGTAATAGGTATTCAACTTCATTTCTTTTTCTTCAGTGGCCTTCAGATTCTCAAGAACTTGATTCTAAGGAACATTCAGCTGGCTCTCAATTTGTAGGCCTCATGGCAGTTCTCACAGCATGTTTTTCAAGTGGCTTTGCTGGGGTTTACTTTGAAAAAATCTTAAAAGAAACCAAGCAATCAGTGTGGATAAGAAATATTCAACTTGGTAAGTTTTAAATGTTTTCTAATATTATTTTTAAAGTGATTCATATTGTTCTATAATAATTTCATGACTTCTCCTGATGTAAATATCTGGCAAGATTTTTTCTTTAAAAATTATATTTTAAATGAATGCATTTTATTTAATAACAGGAAATTTTAGGTTTGTGACATATGTTAGCATTGTGTCTGTCATCATTTGGAGTCTATCATTTGGTTGCTACATTTGGAAGATGTTACAAATAGCCTACATTTTGCTCCTTGGAGAAGGAGATTAAGATACTTAGTAAGTTTTTTCAACTGCATGATGTAGTTACCTGCTATAGTCACTGTGTTGTATATCAAATCACCAACATGTACACAGTTTTGCTGCTTATACCCCAATAAAGCTAAAAAGGAAGGATATTTAAATGAAGGACTTACTTTCAAAGCTATACACCTTTTATCTGCTTTAAAATCTTGATACCCTTTTTTATGTTTGTTATTTTTTAAATACTATATCTTCTTTCTAACTGAAGGTAAAGAGAAGGGAAAAAATCCCATACAATGAAGAATTGCCTTTGAAAGAAATATTAAACTTTTTTGGCAGTACTGGTACAGAGATTCCGTATTTACTATTCCTAATATATATTTGGAAAATGCATCAGAAACAGCTCGATTGCAAATTGACACAATCTGGTTTTTTTTTTTTTTAAAAGATTTATTTATTTATTTATACAGAACTGGGGTACAGGCCAGAGATGCAGAGGGTGAGAAAATTCACCAGAGACAGAGTGGGGAGCAGAACAGGCAGATCGACGAAGTACACTGCTAAGGGAAGCAGTGGGCGGGTCAGGAGAGGTCTGCCTCGCCAAGTGGCTCTCCTCCGGGGCTGGTGGGATAGAACTCATGCGGAAGTGGCTTAAGCTTCTTTGTACTGTGCTTTAACCCGCTGTGCCACCAGGGAGGGCCCGACACAATCTGTTTTAAGCCTCTATACTTGTGACTTTGGAGGTCATCTTTACAGTCACTTTTTTTTCTATCTGGGTCAACTTAAAAGATAGAAGGTAATTACTTTTAAAGGCAAATTAGCTTCATTTACAGTCTTGAAAAACATTAACCGATTTAATGCATCAAAATTTCAGATAGAGTATACCTATAAAACAGTGTTAAGAACACCTAGCTTTGGGCTCTCCCTGATGGCCCAAAAGGTTAAAGCACAGCACTATGAGGCTATCCAAAGCCACTTCAGCAGGAGTTCTATCCCCAGCCAGGGAGTTGACCCATATGGCATACAAGACTTCTGTCTCACTGCTCCCCTCAGCAGTGTACTTCGTCAGTCTGTCTGCTCTGCTCCCCACTGTCTCTGGTGAATTTTCTTACTGCCCCTGCACCTCTGGCCTGTACCCCAATTCTTTATGTACACCTATCATTATTTCTTAGATGATTTTTTTTGGTACTTATTGTATTTGCAAAAACTTCTTAATAAGGTAAAAGACTATGCCACATACCTGAATTTTTACATCTGCATGTATAATTTGAATATATGAAAATCTAGATGTAGAGATAGGAAGATAACAAGATGCAGGAAAATATACCAAAAGATGAGCATTTTGTAAATATTTGAATATTTGAATGGGACAGCCATATAGACATGTATTTTATTCATTACATATATATATATTTAGATAGATAGATTAGATAGATAGATAGATAGATAGATAGATAGATAGATAGATAGATATAAAAGATATATTTATTTAGGCATACAGAACTGGGGTATAGGCCAGAGATGTGATACAGTGAGCGGATTCACTAGAGACAGAGTGGGGAGCAGAACAGGTCCACTGAAGTACACTGCTGAAGAGAGCAGTGGGCGGCTCAGGAGAGGTCTGCTGTGCCATGTGGGTCATCTCTGGGGCAGGGATCAAACTCATCTGAAGTGGCTTTAGCTTCTTAGTGCTGTGCTTTAACCTGCTTTACCACCAGGGAGGGCTCATCATTATATATTTTTAGTATTCCAAAGTTTGTTATTTCTCTACCCTTTTTTTGTATTATCATGTCTTTATCTTCTCACCACCATAGAATACTAAGAACACTCTTGGTAATAAAATAAAATAATTTAAAAGTAGTCAAATTTTATCAGAAAGGAACAGCTAAATATGAAATTATTTGGAATATCAGTGAAAAAGTATCTCTCCAGGCAAAATGACATATATTATGTTTTTTCTAGGTTTCTTCGGTAGTTTATTTGGATTGATGGGTGTATACATTTATGATGGAGAATTGGTATCAAAGAATGGATTTTTTCAGGGATATAACAAACTGACCTGGATAGTTGTTATTCTCCAGGTAAAGCATTTAAAATCTTATCTTTAATGCTAATAAACTTATAATGGGATTACTTTTAATATAGTAAAATAAAGTAGTTACTAATGTACTGATGTGAGGTGGGAAGGCCTCTTTTAGTGTTCTCACTATAGTTTATTAAAAGGTGTTAAAACTAGTTTTAATGCCACAGTCGCAACACTCTGAGAAGGGGGTCACACATGGACTTTGTGGTATTTAAATTTAATATAATAAATTGAATCTAAAGAGTAAAAGCTGAAGTTGAAGGTGAGGGAAAAATAGAACTTTGAGTTTATACAATCAGTAGTGTACAGGTAATCTATGATCGGCTCATTAAGACTCAAGAAGCAGGTGTAGTTATATAAGTTTGTTAAACAGTTCATAGTCTATTGTATCTACACACTGAAATATCCCTATTTCAAATTACCTTAGTTTATAATTTGAAATTGTCCAAGGCTTGAGTCTTTCATCTTTAAAAAATACTTAATTGAGTATTCTGGAGGACATAAAAATTAAGGTAAAAATCACTACCCTCAAAACCTTATTCCACAGTTATTTAACACTAACGAGCAAGGTGTCCTTCTGAAAGGCAGGTGAAAATGACAAGGGAATAGTTGTATTTTGAAAGCATGAAGGATGCTTGCATTTGAAATGGGAGAAAGGGAGATAAGAATAAATTAAAAACTCAGGGAAAATATGATGGATAGATAAATTAGAGATACATACTTTTTTTTAAAGATTTATTTATTTATACATACAGAACGGGGGCACAGGCCAGAGGTGCAGGGGTGATGAGAGAATTCACCAGAGACAGAGTGGGGAGCAGAACAGGCCATCTGATGAAGTACACTGAGGGGAGCAGTGGGCGGGTCAGGAGAGGTCTGCTGTGCCATGTGGATCACATCCGGGGTGGGGATCGAACTCATGCTGAAGTGGCTTTAGCTTCTTAGTTCTATGCTTTAACCTGTTGTGCCACCAGTAAGGGCCCTAGGATGTATAACTTTTAATATATATTATTAAGGAAATGAAGTCTTTTTCGTATAAGAAGGCGCTAAAGACTGAGTAAAATAAAAATGATTTGGCAAGTGGCATTAGGCATTCAGCAGGGAGTAAAAAAATGAATGAGACTATTACTAACAACTAGTAGTACTCAAACATCAATTTGTAATGAATTCAATTGACATAATACCTGACTTTCTCTAGTAAAGTTTGTGTCATCCTTAGTAAGTAGTTAAGGTAGGAAACCCAAATTTGAGAGCTGACAAATAGGGTTTGGCACAAAACAAAAACTATGAGGTATGGCAAAGCCTTTAATTAGTCACAATTTGGAATTTGAGTTATTTGGTAGAATTTTTCTTTTTTTTTTAAGATTTATTTATTATATAGAACTGGGGTACAGGCCAGAGATACGGAGGGTGAGAGAATTCACCAGAGAAAGAACAGGGAGTAGAACAGGCAGATCAACGAAGTACACTGCTGAGGGGAGCAGCAGGAGAGGTCTGCCTCGCCATGTGCATCTCCTCCGGGACAGGCGGGAATCGAACTCATGCGGAAGTGGCCTAAGCCTCTTAGTGCTGTGTTTTAACCTGCTGCACCGCCATGGAGGGCCCAGAAAATTATTTTATACTTAAAGAACAATTAAAATTGTGCTTTGGGAAAAGTAATCTGATAGCAATGAAAGGCAGATTAAAATGGAAGAAATCAGAAGAAGAAAGGAAAGCTAGGAGGCTATTGGCAGGCTGGTAAAATACCTTTCAAATTATACTTTATTTTGACTCAGAAGTAAAAATACTATCAGAATGACCAGTTTTAACACATTTGTCTTAACATGTGATTTTACTAGCTTGGATGAAAATAGTGTTGCTGAATAAAAATCCTATAATGGGATTAAATATATGGGAAAAATCCTAAGGCTTTATTGAAAATAAGATTGCTTTGAATGTATATACATTATTTTAAAAATACTCTATTAAAACTTCTACAGGCACTCGGAGGCCTTGTAATAGCTGCTGTTATTAAGTATGCAGATAATATCTTAAAAGGATTTGCAACCTCTTTATCCATAATATTATCAACACTGATATCCTATTTTTGGCTACAAGATTTTGTGCCAACCAGGTAATTTCTTTTCTATTTCTTTAAATTCAAAAAGTAAGAATTCATAAAATCTGATTTGAAAATGTTTGTTGTATTACAACTGCTAGAGAGTCTTGAAAGTATGGTAAAAGATCCATCTGTCTTTTTTAGAGATTACAAGCTAAACATGTGAAAGAATCCTTCACTTGAAAGTTTTTTTTTTTTTAAAAGATTTATTTATTTGTACATACAGAACTGGGGTACAGGCCAGAAGCTCAGGGGAGGCGAGAGGCTCCACCAGAGACAGAGTGGGGAACAGAACAGGCAGATCGACGAAGTACACTGCTGAGGGGAGCAGCGGGCGGGTCAGGAGAGGTCTGCCACGCCATGTGGTCATCTCCAGGGCAGGCAGGAATCGAACTCATGCGGAAGTGGCTGTAGACTCTCAGTGCTGTGCTTTAACCCGCTGCGCCACCAGGGAGGGCCCACTTGAAAGTTTTTAAATACAAATTTGGCTGGACAAAATTTCTCTAGTGCATCAGAAGGGGTTTTATCCAAACTAAAAAGTCATATTTCAAAAGTTTGTAAGTCATACAAAGCCATAGAATAAGTCATATGGTGACATTTTAAAATGCAGAATTTATATACCTAAAGCAGAAAAGTGTGTTACATCTCAAAGAACATATTTTATATATTTAGAAGGTACCTCATGAAAAAGCCTTATGAGGGAGTGGCAGGAAGAGGAGTGGAAAGGAGCCACAGGGGATGATTGGTAAGGCAGGAGACATGCCTGTAAGTCAGGGAGGTCACAGGAGGAGATTTGGAAAGAATGAAATGTGGTGAACACTTGCATAAATGACAGTGAAGATGCAGTTATTCTTATAATTATTAATTTATAACTCCATTGACATGAGATTGTTTTAATGGTGTCCAGGATACTTCTCTGATTTTCATCCAACTCTATTCTCCCCATCTTCTCAAAGTCTGAACTTTGCGGTCTCCCAAGGCACTGTCCTTCATTTGCTGCTCTAACTTCCTTGTGAACTGTAGTCTCTTGACTTTATAGGTACCATTATATGATAATCAGTCTCGAATTTAAATTTGAATTCCAGGCTTGTATATTAAGTGCCTATTTGACATTTTCATTTTAATGCCTACTAGATAACTCATTCCCTCCAACCCTATCAAGGTTTATCCATTTGGTAAATGACAGCACCTCCGTTTCTCCAGTTGCTTAGACTGAAATCCTCCTTGACTTAGAAAGTTCAGTCTTAGAGGAGGCAGAGCTTGCAAGTATGGATATAGATGATGAATGTGGGAAGAAGTTCTAATGTAAAGAAGTTCTTTATTTTCTGAAGTAAGGAAGATCATCAGCATCTCTTTACCCTTCTCTCATATGTCATTGTAACCCAGAAGCAAATCCTATCAACACTTCCTTTTTAATATCTCCACAGTTTGACCATTTCTCATAATCTCAACTGCTACCAACCTTCTTCAAGTCACCCAAATCATGTGGATTAAGGAAATAATCTCCTAACTTGTCTTCTTGCTTCTTCTCATCCTGTGCCTCTCAATTTGCCACTCAGCAACCTGAATGATTTTTTTTTTCCATTGTAAATCAGATCATATCTATTCCATTCAAAATGCCTCTGTTTGCTTGCCATGTCACTCAGAAGTTTTCATTATCATGGCCTATCTTACTTGGTAGTTTTCTGCTATCTATCTGTCTTCATCTGATACTACTTTCAGCTACAATAACTTTTTTTTTTTAATGTTTTAACTTACTCGTCTTGGAATACTCATCCCTTATTCTCAGAGATTCACATGTCACCTTAATGGGGGCTCAGCATCCCCTCACCCCCATTCCTAATTCTTTTTCATTAAGCAAGCAAGGCTAGAGCTTAATACATAAGAGGTATCAGTATATTTGGTGAATGAATGTTCAAGACTTTAAAATTTTAAGGCCATTAGTAAAATTCATTTTGTGTTACTTAGGGTGAGGCAGAATTAGGCAATAGAAAAATACAATAATTTCTTTATGTTTCTGTAAGAAATATTTGGGTTTGATTTTTTTCCCCCTTCTGTCAAACCTGGGTAATAGGTGTGGGACATGCATGCATGTTATTTTTCTGAGGCATAAATTAAGATGTTTTTAACTTGCATGGGAATTGTTTTAACTAGCAAGATTAGTGAAACAATTAGTAATTACATCTTAATGATGCTTTTATTTCCTTTTCCTATTCCAATTCCATAATGGGAATCTTATGTGCTTTAAAGTTACTTGAGAATGTTTTGAATTTATAGATAGATATTTAGGAAACAAAAAAAAGGACATACCTTTTTTTAGAAAAAAATTAAGGCCAAGGTGTTAACTTTAAATTCTTTGAATGATACAGGGAATAAACAAGTAAATGAGCAAGAAAAACAGTAGAGGGGCAAAAGTGATTGTAGTTTGTCAATAAAATATACATCTGTATGTAAGTCCCTGCTCATGAGGTATGTTGGGATGAAGATCAAAAGAGAAAAGACAATAATATTATTATATTGAGTGAATTTTTGAGAACTTGGGAGGACACAGAATCAAATGGAGGAAAAGGATTATTTTTTCTAAAATAAGTAACTATAAGAAAGTTAGCTAAAAAGAAAGTAACCTATTTTAGAAAAGTAATCCCTCTCCTCCAGAAAAACACCTTTTAATAAATCTAGTGACCTCCATTTTCTGTATAACATTTTCCTTCATTATCTCCATTTCACTTCCTAAAATTGTTTTGGGTTTTTTGTTTTTTTCCAGAAGTGGTACTGCTGCCTGTCTGAATGTTCTTTTTTTTTTTTTTTTTTTGTATCCTGTTGGTTTTCACTTACTTTTTTGGTTATATCTCCTATTGTCATATCTTGTATCTCCTCTTACGAAGGTGTTAACTATTTGTAACCAACTGATAGCTACCTCTAGTAGGTACCATATTGCCAGTATTCCATTTCTGAACATATTTTACTAGTGCTTATCATTTTGCTTATTGGCATTACCTTCCTTGCAATTTGACTTGTTTATTCTATGATCAGAAATGTTCTGTGCCCACTGTATGCCTGCTTAGCCACCATACCAGATCCTGGAAAAACTTACGCAAATTGAGTTACGGATTTTTGTCTTTAGAACTCACACATGTCTAGAGAGACAGACATGTGAATAAATTATAATAGTATGATCAATGTAGTAATATAATTAATCTACAATTCTGTTAGAGTGGGCTCAGGTCCGGAAACAATGAGTAAACTCTGATAGGTGTTTTTCTTCTAATTTTTTAATCTTTTATTTTAAAATTTATTTGTGCATACAGAACTGGGATACAGGCCACAGGCTCAGGGGGCGGTGAGAGGCTTCACCATAGACAGAGGGGGGAGCAGAACAGACAGATAGAGGAAGTACACCGCTGAGGGGAGCAGCAGGTGGGTCAGGAGAGGTCTGCCACGCCATGTGGTCACCGCCCGGGGCAGGAGGGGATCGAACTCATGTGGAAGTGGCTTTAGCTTCTTAGTGCTGTGCTTTAACCTGCTGCGCCTCCAAGGAGGGCCTTCTTCTAATTTTTTTAACAAAAGTTTTTCTCTCAGAACCATGCAAAAATAGCAGACTTGAAAGCAAAGATTTCCTGACATTAGGCATTCTAGAAAATTTTGTTAGAGATACAAGAATGTATACTTGGGATTGAATCAGACAAGTTTCCAGCTGAGCATGTGATTCTGTGCAATTCTAGAATTTTAGAAAGCTAAGAAAAGGTAATAATGAGAAAGTTTTTAATCAGGAGCTTATCCAAAGCTTTGGTAAATCACCAAATATCCTTATTGTAATTTTTTCCATGATATATTATGTTTTACGTTTTCTTAATCTTAATATATACCTGCAAGGCTTTTGGAGAGTTGTCCATATGCATCAAGTGAATACTAAATATTTTTATCATTATTGAACTACTACATATGTGAGACATTAGAGGTGCGATAATAAATGATAGACAAGCACTTAGTCAAGCAGATAGCATATGTGTACATAATGTGTAATTTAATAAGGTATGATAAGTAACAGCAGAGAAGTGAATCTTGGAGACTAGATCTGAATTGTTATGAATATACAGTTTTCTTGGAGAAAATACATTAAAGGCAGAGGAAATAGCATCTTCAGGACCACTGTTCTGTGAAGTTTACTGGGTTCAAAATGGAGTGGCTGAACCATAGGTTGAGAGGAGTATGGGAGATGAAGTTGAAGGGGCGTTTTATGTCATAATAAAGATTAATGATCTTTTTCCTTTTAGAACAATTTTTTTTGTAAGCAGGGAAATGACTTTGAACCTTTAATAGAAACTTCAAAACCAAGACTCATTCATGACCCTAAAATGGCATGCTGAAGAATATAAATGTTAAAAGTTAAGACTGGTATTTCAGTTTACATCCAGTTTGAGAGCATTTCTAGTTTACTGTAAGATATTATCAATGGGTAGATAGAGAAGAAAACAAGTCTCCCTGCATTTACACTTCCTTTTATAAAGCATCTTATAACAACTATCAGATGTTTTCCTTATTACTACCTTGGATTTTATACTATACTTTGATTTGCAAAGAATTCAATTTTCCCTTTTTCCCCAGATGTTAAAAAAAAGTGAGATCTTTTATCATTCAGTATATTGCCAGCAGAAGGCTTATTAAGGTGAAATGTAACATTTTGAACACATTTGCTTGTGGAGACAGTAAAGTACATAAAAATACAGGCTCTGGAGTCAGGTATACCTGGATTTGATTTATATCCTTCTTCCACTTAGTGGTGTGAGGCTTTAAGCAAGTTACCTAATCTCTCTAAACTTCAGTTTTCTTATATATTAAACATGAGAACAATAGCAGCACTTCCACATAGAGCTGTTATAAGAACTAAATGTGAGAATACAGGTTGAACACTTAGGATGTAATAAGCACTTAATATTGTTAGCCATGTCACCGGAATGCTTTTTCACAAAATAGAATTGTTTTTAGAGTAAAAATATAGAAGGATTTGTTTTCTGTTTAATCTGATTTTCATTTTTTCTTCATTCTATTTAGTGTCTTTTTCCTTGGAGCCATCCTTGTAATCACAGCTACTTTCCTATATGGTTACGATCCCAAACCTACAGGAAATCCCATTAAAGCGTAGTCGAATACTGTCTTTTAACTGGTTTTTCACAATGGTGCACTAGGAATCTCCATGTTAATCTTACACAGGACGACTGCAGATTCTAAGAAGATATCATCATGCTAAATCCGATCATATTGTTAAGGACAAAATACGTGTGTATATGTAACAAAAATACCAATTGCATCGAGAAATCAAAATGTCAAAGTATTTCCTGGGATTATAATTATTGGTAGAAACTTGAAATCTGAATTTTAAAAGATTTCACCTTTTTGATTGTTGCAGAACTGTCCCCTGTTCTCTGCAAGAGCACACAACAAATATCAGATGTAAAATCTTGCAAATTCCATCTATTTGATGTGTTTTAAGTGTTTTTATGTCTTGCTCCTTCTGTACAGATGTCAAATCACACATAATACTCAGACTTTGAAAATGATAATTACCTATAAAGCTGTGAAGCACTAGCAGTATGAGTTGAAAAACATTTTTATGTATCTGAGATTTTTATATTCTTATAAAAGATTACCACGCAAAGGATTGCTAATGTTATTTGACCAACTACATAAAAATTGATAAATCTGGCCCTAATTTGTCAAAGGAAAAATTTCATAATCAAATATAATATAGAGGAATGCACACATCTATTTCTCCATCTGTATTTTAAGATCTTTCAGTGCTTTGAAATGGCTAAAAGCAATCCAGTTTGCACCTGTGCTAGATAGTAGCCAGTGACTTTTATGGAGCTTGGTATTTAATCTCTTAACTGTATTTCTTTTCTGTAAATCAGATAAAAATTTAATATTTTAAATTAAATTTCTGTATGTATTAATATTGACTAAAGTTTTAAAATGTAATTTAAAGGGATTAATTGCTCATTTAATAATTTAAAATAATTATTGTCTAATATCTCCATTTGGAGAATTCTGTACTATCAAAGTATATACTGTATACAACTAGAATACTTTTAAATGAATGTTTTACTCACTGAGCTGTAAAAGTTTTTTAGTCTACAACTGTTGATAAACAACCCAAAAAAATCATACATATGTCAGTGAATTATGAGACCAAAATGACTTTAGCTGGAGACATTCCGGTAACAGATAATCATAAGTTTAAAAGTCTAAAAACTTTTTAGGCTTTCTCACACACATCTGAGTAGCTGAATTTGAAGTTCCCTTTTTCTAGCCCTACAAAAGCTGCTGGAAAAGAGTCACCACTTGTTTTAAAATAGTGGTTTCTTTTTCTTTTTGACTAGCACTGGAGTTGAGATTATAAATTACATGAATTGGTTCAAGGAACAGAGAATAGAGCAATGATTAGACAAATTGGTGAGCAAGAATACGTAGTGAAAATTGGAATGTGGATTCAATTATTGACTTGAGATAGAATTGTCTAGTGACAGAAGAATTTGTTTTTTATTCACTCCTCATATATTTTAAAAACTCCCTTGTTCTAACAGTATTTTAAAAACTCCCTTGTTCTAACAGTATAAAAACTATAAAGAGTGCATATTTTTACATAGTTCTAATGAATTTTACTGAACAAAATCTGGCTTGAAAGTACCATTTTACAAATTGTAAGGTCCTCTTGGCAAATTAGGACTGTGTCACTTTGCTAATGTAAACTTAGTCCTCATAGGACACAGGCTTAATCTATTGCACCTAGAGTTTAAATGTTTAAAATGACAAAATATTTTCAGTTTAAATGTTTAAAATGACAAAATATTTTCAGCCAATTGACTAGTGATTCCAAACTGGCTCCTAGCAAATTTTTATGGAAGCCTGAGTCATGACTTTTAATGACCACCTTTTAGAGTATTTAATAGCTTTATCACATTTTGAGTATGGCTTAACAACATTTGGACATGTATCTCATTACTTGTGCTAAGTGAAATCTAAATCCTGCAAATACAGAAAACTCAGGACTAAATAAAACAATGTATGTTCATTCCATATTGAAGTACTTGGGCTGGGTACTTAATCATTATTAATTCATGTGCATTTGTTATTAATTGTTATATCATGTTTGGTCTGGCTCCATTTAACATTTCAAAAAATGATACAGGTAAATTATTGGATATCAGACTTGTTTATAGTTAACAGTAGTATGTTGAGGTGTCCAAAATAATATAACTTAAGATTCACAATGAAGTTTATTAAAACATAATTAAGAATTGTGACAAAAGACAGACTAAAGTTTATTTTCAAAGCAAATTTTTATTAGATAAGGATAATTTATTTTTTTCTAGTAGGTCTGAAATGTTATTGGAAATTGGCTATAGAGTTTATAATCTTTAATTCATAAAGTAATCATTTTGAGAAGGTGGACCTATATCTTAGATTATGTCATATGTACAGGTATCATTTTCTTGCTTGTGTGGTGTTTTGATGCTCTAAAAGCCTTATTGTATTAATCTTTTATAATGATGATTCCTTGATTACTTAAATTCTTATACTTTTAATAGATGGCTTTTTATCTTTCAACTACTTCATTCATTATAAAAATATGCTATTTCATGGGAGAAGAGTGCCAATAGATAGGTCTATTAAAATTATGGAAATAAAAGTTTGAAATACAACATACAGGTGTTTCAACACAGTAATATTATTAATTCTTTAACAAGTGATTTTAGAGACATTGTAGACTGCTTTTATGGGAAAATGTTATTAAGAGGTGCAAATTTTAAATGTTTACATAAATTTATATTGAATGTCACAATTTCACTGAAGGAAAGGTAGTTTGATATATGAATTACATTCTAAAGAGAGAATCTGAAAGGAAATATGCTCAGTAGATTTAGTGTAATGCTGACTGTTCTTAGGAAGTGATAAGTTTTCCTTCATGTCAAATTATTGAACTTTTGAAATGTCATTGTATAGTCATTCAACTGAGATTTTTCTTTTTAAACAGGGTTTAGCAGCATTCATTTACACTTGCATTGTTACACTATTTAATTACATGTGAATGTATGCTTTACATATTAAACTTTTTGTAAGTTATTTATGCTATATTGAAAGTCACCTTAATAATCTATAGGATATGTAGCATATTTAAAGTAATTATAGGACCAAAGAAAAGCACCTTTATCAAAATCTGGTCCTATGTGCCTTGCTTTACCAAAATACCTGACTTCTCTGGAAATTATTACTGTAATTCATGACTTTGGACATATGCGGAAAATATGAATGTTTAAGAATATCTATAATGCCATTTTTGGTGGTTTCAATATCTGCTCCTAAAATTTACTATCCAACAATATTAAAATGGGTATATTATACAAGTGTTAGTTAACAGTACTTATTTAAATAAATTATGACACATTGCTCCATCACTGAGCTTTTGAAACTAATAGCTGTATATAAATGTCATACTGTTGTTTAATTTCTTATTACAAGATATAATTTACTGTGATTTTTAAATATTTTTTAAATGATTTGCATTCAGAATTTGTATGTCTGTATTTTGTTTAAAAAAATCCTTTTGGGTTTGGGAATGTGATTTGTATGTTTAAATTTTTATGAATATAATTCAAAGGAATATATAAACTTATTTGTTAAATGGCTTTTAAAAATTGATAAATTTCTTTTTGTCCATTTTTGGATATCTAGTTATTATCTGTTTAGATTTATGAAAACAATATTTTCCTATTTATATGTGAATTTATTCAGTTATTGTTTACGCAGTCAACTGTGTCTTACACCTTGAATTAGTCTCCTCTCTCTGTATCGAAAATGACCCACTTCCTGCCTCTCTAGTTTATCACATACGTTTTTTTTTTTTTCCTTTTTACCAACCTGTGTCTTATGGAAAGACTAGGTTTTATTTAAACTAATTAAGAGTTCTATACTAGTATAAGAGCCAGACATTTTTTAATTTTAAGTAATCTCTTTGCTAGTCTCAAGGCTAGGTAATTACATTAATCAGTGTATGTTTTCTTCACAATTTGAATAGCTTCTGTCATGATTATCAATTCATAGCACAGAGATCAACAGTATAAAATATTTTGTTTCTACGTTTTAAAACATTACTAAATAAATATATTAGCATTTTTAAAGCATATACTTCTTTGGTATACTCTCATGAAAAGCTCTAAATGAAAATCATTTTTTTTTAATAAATTGGAATTCTTCCTGTTACAGGTAAATCACCTTTGCATCCCAGTGATACACAAATATATAATTTAAATCTTAACAGATACTAGTACATTCAGAGTCAGTGACCTGTATTAGTAATTGTAACGGTCATTCTTTTCTCAGAAAGATTCGTTCAAAGCAGCACTATTTATGTATGTACCCCAGAAGGGAAGACAGCAAAGAGAAAATAAATCACTTTCAAATCCCTAAAAATTGTATTCTTGTAGTGAGTATCTTGGTGACTTCAAATTTAGGGGTTTCCCAAATTCACCACAGGTTCCATAATTCACTAAAAAGACAGAACTCACTGAAAGCTATTGCATTCAGATACATTTATTACAAAGAAAGGGTACAAATTACAACCAAAGGAAGACACACAGAGGAAGTAGTCTAGAAAAACTCCAAGCCTGTAGTCCTTTTAGCTGTCTGCTCCCACAGCGGCATATGTTCTCTACTCATGATCACAGTATGTGACAGTTCACACAGCACTGCCAGCAGTGAAGTTCACCCACATTTTTGCTACCGAGATTCTTTTTGATGCTTTATTACTTGGCATGGGTTCTTTGCCCACATAGTTAAACTGCCTTCCTTGGCTTCTGTCTCTGGAGGTCTGGCTGACATCAGTTCCAGGGACTCACCCAGATTAATCTTGTTAGCATAAATTATTAGATGTGGGCTGAGGGGCCCACCATAGATAACAAAAACACAGCTAATAGTGAAAACTACTAAATAAGTAAACCAGAACTTCCTTTGGATGAATAAGGCCAAATTCTTTATAGTGATCATTTACCTCTGTACAAATTCTCCTGAACTAATGAGGGTAACAGATAATGACAGTTATCTGTAGAGAGACCTCTAAATGTCATTTTCCACTACAGAAATTCTGTCAAGATCCTGAACGAAATGAGTCAAGTGTAGAAAAACATGCTTATTAACCTGATATAGTGCAATGTGGCATATATAGTATTCAGTTGTATTTAATGAGTTTATTAAATGCTTTGTTATTTTAAAGAACAATGAATTAAAAATTTGTTAAACCCTTTCTGTACATTAACGTGGAATTGTAAGCTAATTTTAAGGTACCATTAACTGGCACTATTATAGGGAGATTTAGAATAAAAACTGTTGTTAAGTTTGGTTTACAGTAGGGCTTTACTTTTGATGGGTCCACATTCCAGTCATCCTTTAGGTAGTTAAGTATTGCCTTTCCATTGGACTTAAATCACTTGTTTTTCATTTATGCACTTTATATTTTATTATTCATTTAGGATTTGTAATATGTTAAATTGTTTAAGACTAATAACAGGGTATTCCTTTGAAAACAGAATTTACTCATGAGGTACCCTTCACTTTTAAGTACATCTCACTGTAGGTTTAAAAGAATAATGAAAGCTATTTACAGTGTTTTGGGATAATCATCTGATAATGTAAAGAGATGTAGTTAAATATTAAATCAGACTTCACTTGAGTATTTTTTAAAAATTATTGTTACTGTGTGTATATGTTTGCTCTTTCAAAACGTACTATATATATATATATATATACAAACTTGTATCTTTGTAGCCCTGATTGAGGGTTTAAGTTTTCTTTTTGAGGGTAAAGGTTTATTATGTTCTACTGCATGTTGTTCTGCTTGGATACTAATTGTAGCAGTTAAAACTTATGATGCTAAGTGGTTTTTTTAATCAAGCTACTTCAGCTTTCCCCCATAAATATTATAGCAAATTTTGATTGATGCTTCTTGGGTGAATGATAGGATTACAGGAAATTAGGTGAGCTTATGTGTAATAACTTTCAAAAGTTTTGCTTTGAAGTCTAGAATTTTAAATTTGGGAGCTTACTTTGATTATAAAAT